TACTACACCCGGCTAATTTTTGATTTGTTGTAGAGATGAGGTCTTGTCAAGTTGCCCAGGCGGGTCTCGAACCCGCGGGCTCAGGCAATCCATATGATAAATTTTAAAAAGAATTAGCTGGACATAGTGGTGCATGCCTGTGGTTCCAGCTACTTGGAAAGCTGAAGCAGAAGGATCACCTGGTTGAGGCTGCGGTGGCCATGAACATGCCACTGCACTCCAGCCTGGGTGACAGAGTGAGACTCCGACTCTAAATAAATAAATAAATAATTTCGTTTTTATTTTTTGAGTCAGGGGTCTCACTCTGTCACCCAGCTGAAATGCAGTAGCACAATCAAGACCCACCACAACCTCAACTTCCTGGGTTCAGGTGACCCTTCCACCTCAGCCTTCCCAGTCACTGGAACTACAGGTGCACACCACTACACTCAGCTAATTTTATTATTTTTTATAGAGACAATTTCTTGCTATGTTGCCTAGGCTGGTCTCAGACTTCGGTCAAGCAGTTCTTCTGCCTTGGCTTCCTTAAGTGCTGAGATTCAGGCATGAATCACTCCGCCTGGCCTGAAAAATGACTAATTTTATGTTATGTTATGTTATGTTATGTTATGTTATGTTATGTGGAGTGGTTTTCTGGAGAGGGAAGCAGAGCCTGTCTCTGGGGTTGATCTTCCTGTTTAGAAAGATGCTACACAGGCATGTCTGACTCTGAAGGGTGAGGCTAGAGGACAAGAGTCCAGAGGGAGGGAGGCATTTGACTGTGAGACAAGGCCCCTGGGAGTCTGTGGCTAGGAGAGTTGATGGACTTCCCAGGGTGGAAAGATCTGAGACTTGAGTTGGGCTTCCTAGCACGTAGGCTGTCATCATCCTCCTCTGAGCATCAAAGGACTCTAATGCCCACACCAGTTCCAGGGCATGGGGCTTTGGGGACAGGCAGGAATGTAAGGAGAGAGGCCATTGGCTGCAGGAGGAAGATGACCAGAAAAACCAGAAGATGACCAGGAAACAGAATCCCAGAGTTCTCAGTGGTGAAAAACTCCCTGCTGTGTGAGGAGGAGGGTTCAAACCACTTTATTTTGATATTAAGAGCAAGAAGGACCTAGAAAGTGGGAGGACCCAGGGACACCCAGGCCCTAGGCATTTGGGGATATGCAGGCCAGTTATCACACTCAGACACAATCCCACTACTTCCATCACATTCAGTCAGAGAGGAGGTGCGAGGCAGAGCACATCCCAGACACAGAGGATTGACGTGGGAAGTGATGTTTCTGGGTGGGCAGAGGCCTGGCCTATGGATCAGGAGACCTGGATCCTATTCCCCGTTCTTCAGTTGGTTCTTGAGTAAGACCCTTCCGCTTTCTGGGCCTTACTTTCCCTAGTTGGGAAGTGGGTGAGTCACAGTAGATATGTGACTTCCAGATATAGAGATGGTCAAGCACTAAATATCCAGATTCAAACATGCACACCAATACTCATCAGAGACCTAGGTGAGCACAGGTGCTAACCCAGGCACACATACATGTCACACTCAGGCACAATGTCACACACAACTGCACATAGATCCAATCACACAGACACATGTAGACACTGTGGAGGCTAAAGGGGTTTCATCTTGAATGCTAATCCGCCATGTTGACTTCTGATTAATCCTGAGTTCTGGGAAGGCCTCCAGGATTTCTTTCATTTTTTTTTTCTCTGCTTGAGTTCGAGCCTCACTCTGCCACCCAGGCTGGAGTGCAGTGGCACAATCATGGTTCACCACAGTCTCGACCTCCTGAACTCAGGTGATCCTTCTGCCTCAGCCTCCCAAGTAGCTGGGACTATAGGCACGTGCCACCACACCCAAATAATTAATTTTTTTGTAGAGATGAAGTCTTGCTACGTTGTCCAGGCTGGTCTCAAACTCTCAGGCTCCAGCGATTCTCCTACCTCGGCCTCCCAAAATATTGGGATTACAGGCATGAGCCACTGCACCCAGCCAATATTTCTATATTATCTACTGCTCCTTGTTACAAGCATGTCGTTACCATAAATCCTGCACTTAGCAATTGTCCTACACATCCTTTCTGAAGCACACATATATCTTCCCCATGGCACATAAGCCCAGGGTCTGGGGGGTAATGGTGTGGGGATCTGCCATTTTCATGTCTTCTGTTCATATCTCTATTAAATGTTTGTTTTAAGAAACTGGACTTGTCAGCCACTCTTCAGCCTCTCAGCTTCCTTAGACTTTGAGGGTAGGTTTGCATAGAACTGCTCACTGCAGAAAAGACACACAATCACATAGAGACACAAATATTCAGTGTATGATCACAAAGAAAATGGGCACAACTAGACAGAAAACCACCAAAACACAGTCATGCCCACTGTACCAAACACACAATCTCGCAGAATACCATTACACAAGCTTACAATTACACAGACAAGAAATCACAAGGACATTCAGTCGCACTTACAGACACAACCACAGATAGTTTACACAGGCACACAACCACCCATGGGCAACAGAAACATCGAAACACACAGCCCCAACATAAGCACTCTTGAAATCACCTGGACATAATCATATATAGATAGTGGTCATCTCAGAGAGAATCACATGCCCACAGACACAACTATATATTAATACAGAACATGACCACACAAACATACTTATAGACAACTATTAACAGCATCACAGTGACACAATTACCGTCACAACCACAGAAGACAACCAGAGTGATCTGTCATCACAGAAACACACAATCAGTCCCACAAAACAGGGAATACGCCTAGGTGGAAAAATCATACAGTCAAACACACGGTTACAGCATCACAACATTCTAGAGAAACACAATCTCACACACAAACACACTCAGGCAAAATACAACCACACAGATGCACCATCATAGCACCACAGCACACAATCGGTCACAGGCACACACTCAGTCAGCATGCAGATGCACAGTTACTAGGGCACAGTCACAACACAGACGAACACAATCACACTAGGCCACACTCAAACACAAGCACACGTTGCTGCAGTAGCCACACATGCTTCCTGGGACAGACTGGCAGATAGTTTGGCTGGGATTGTCCGCTCAGAGCCCATCGTCCTCCCCAATAGCACTCCCTCCATTAGAGGAGAACTCGAGGTCTGGCCTCCTGGGTTCCAGGAATCATTTTCCTCGTGCCTCAGTTTCCTTTCGTCAACTCCGGGATCCCGCTGCACTCACCCCTTGCAACTGACCAACCAGGAGTGGGTCGCGCCCCCTCCTAGGGCCAATCAGAGCGGATATATGACTAACCAATCGGATTAGCGCACTCGCCTTCCGCCCCGTCCCCGTTCTCCTCTTAAAGGGGCACACCGTCTCGACCAGGACGTGCCGGCCTCCGCGGGCGGGCTGGCCACAGCCCTTTTAAAAGGCGGAGCCGCAGAGAAGACGAGTCCTAGGAGACACCAATGAGAAGCCTCATTCGTCCGCTCCGCCCACCTCCGGCTGAGACCAAAGGCCTTGACCAGTTGCACGGTGGCCTCTGCCGAGAAACCAGGTGAGGGGGCCGTGGGGGTCTAGGGCCGCGGCGGGGAGCCGCTCAGCTCTGACGTCCCTCTTCCTCCAGGTCGCTGTCGTTGCCCCGCTCGCCCGCCTACTGCACACATGGCCCTGAGAGGCGTCTCGGCGCGGCTGCGGAGCCGCGGGCCCGTCCTTCGCTCGTGGTCTTCCACGGCGGCGCAGACCGGTCAGTGCGGGGCCGAGGGCGGGATGGGAAGAAAGGAACTGGAGGTTCGAGGACTTTCCCGGGGTGACTTTCCCGTCCCGTGTTTGCAGAGAAAAGCGAGAAGACACAGAGCCCACCGGCCAAGTGTAAGGACCCCCGGTCGCGCCGTGCGTCCGCGGCCCCTGTCCAGCTGTCTGCCTGCCCCGGATGGACTTTGCCCCAGAATCCTAGGGCTGCACGGGCGGGGTAGCAGGGTCTTGCCGCAGGGTCAGAAGCACTGAGGCAGTGAGTGTCCTGTCCCTGTAGAGCTGGAGAAAGGTCACCTTGTTAGTCCTGTTGGCAGCCCCCAGCATCAGAGAGCTAGATAGGTGTGGCAGGATGGGGCTGAGGGTAGGGTCGGAGCGGAGGGTGCGGTGGACGGGTGGCCTGCTGGACTGAGGCAAGTCTACCTCCCCTCCCCAGCCTCGCGCCCCAAGTTTGACTGGCAGGACCCGCTGATCCTGGAGGAGCAGCTGACAGCGGATGAGATCTTAATCAGGGACACCTTCCGCACCTACTGCCTGGAGCGACTCATGCCGCGCATCCTGCTGGCCAATCGCAACGAAGGTAGGTGGGTGGGCGCCCTGGGACACCCCTCCCCCCAGAATTCCACCCTCTGCCATCCACACCAACGCTGCCTGCTCTGGACTCAGGGCCTGCCTCTCTGTCCTTGGGGCTGGGGCCTCCAGTGGGCTAGGGCTGGACTTGAACTTGGGCATCTGTCTCTTTGCAGTTTTTCATCGGGAGATCATCTTAGAAATGGGGGAGCTGGGCGTGCTGGGCCCCACCATCAAAGGTAGCGACACATTTCTCTTAATAGGCTGCCGACCACTGTGTCCTAACAGCCCTTCTCTCTCCCTGAGCCAGCTTCCGAGTCTGTAGAGTGAAGCTGTTACCTCTCTCTTTGAAAGCACCTATGGTATGAGCTGAGTGAACCCTCAGCTGGGGCCAGCTTGGTGCATGCCTCCTTGAGTGCTCCTATCCAGCTGTCTCTCGGGTCCAGCTGGGCAGGGTCTTGTCCTATATTGTCCTGCTTTCCTCTAATCTACTACCACCAGGATATGGCTGTGCTGGGGTCTCCTCCGTGGCCTACGGGCTCCTGGCACGAGAGCTGGAGCGAGTGGACAGTGGCTACAGGTCGGCGATGAGTGTCCAGTCCTCCCTCGTCATGCACCCTATCTATGCCTACGGCAGTGAGGAGCAGCGGCAGAAGTACCTGCCCCGGCTGGGTGAATGGCTGCCCATAGGGTGGTGGAAGGAAGACTGTCCCTGTGGTCTGGAGCTATCCAGGGTGGGGCTGTCCCATCACCCTATTCTCTGTCCCCCTTCTCAACACCGATGGTCACCTGGAGCCCCTGCCAGACTCTGGACCCCACCCTGACATCTGATCCATCACCAGCCCTGACCACCCCTTCTTAGGTTTTTCCTGACTCTGTCCCTCTGTCACCATCATCTCCCTCCTGATTTGCTTTCTATGCTCCCCATCCCAACCCAGGGTTTACAATCTTAACTTCCTAACCAGGTCCCCGAGGGCCCACCTACCCATCTCATCTCTGGCTACTGTCTTGAGTGCTCCCCTTGCCAGAATCAGCTACTTGAAATTCTCCAAACGCACCCCTGGGCCTTTACATATCCTGTTCCCTCTGCTGGACACTCTTCACCACCCACTTCTGCTTAACTCCTCATGCCCTTACAGACATAGCTTAGCCTACTTCTTCCTGTTCCCTAGGGTCCCCTCCCCGTCATGGCCTAGTAATCATAGCTTGGGGCAACCTGTCTCTCCACCAACCAGGAATACTGTGAAAGCAAAGCTGATCCACTTAGGTTATGAGACCTGGCACAGTGGCGAGGGGGACAACTTTTGGTTGAGGGGTTTGGTGACCCTGTCTTGTGCCTGCAGCCAAGGGAGAACTCCTGGGCTGCTTCGGCCTCACAGAGCCCAACTGTGGGAGTGACCCCAGCAGCATGGAGACCAGGGCCTGTCACAACCCATCGAGCAAGAGCTACACTCTCAATGGGACCAAGACCTGGTGAGGGATCTGGGTGGTGGGCAGGCAGGTAGACGGGGACGGGAGTGTGGTCAGACCCCTCACTCTGTCCCACCCCTAGGATCACCAACTCGCCTGTGGCTGACCTGTTTGTAGTGTGGGCTCGGTGTAAAGATGGCTGCATCCGGGGCTTCCTGCTGGAGAAGGGGATGCGAGGTCTCTCAGCCCCCAAGATCGAGGGCAAGTTCTCTCTACGGGCCTCGGCCACGGGCATGATTGTGATGGATGACGTGGAGGTACCAGAAGAGAATGTGCTGCCCAATGCGTCCAGCCTGGCGGTGAGCAGCAACAGCCTTAGGAGCTGGTATCAGGTCACCTGCTGGTTCCTTTCTCAGGCAGGCCCTGTGCTGGGGAACCGCTGGAGACTCCACTGACACACGGCCTGTGCTTGTGGAGCCCACACAGTGGAGATTCCCACACAGTGGAGATTCAGAGTGGCTTGGCCTGACCCACTGTTGCGCCCAACCTACTCCAGCCTGGGACACATGGCCTGAGCAGGCTGAGTCCTTTGACGCATGCACATCCTCCTGCCTCCTTACATCAGTCTCTTAGATCTGAGCTTTGAACCCAGATCCTGGGCTGGGTAGAACTGTGCAAACCAAGAGCGAGCGGACACTGAGCACTGAGTGACTCAAACAGCTGCCCTGAGTCCTGCGTCTGGATGTTTGGGGGAGGGGGTTTTACCCTGCTTCCGTTGGTTCTGAACAGGCCCTCTCAGCATGTCCTGGGTGGGACTGAGGCCCCCTCTCAACCCTACAGGGTCCCTTTGGCTGCCTGAACAACGCCCGATATGGTATCACGTGGGGTGCACTTGGAGCTGCCGAGTTCTGTTTCCACACAGCCCGGCAGTATGCCCTGGACAGGTGTGTGGGGATTGCTATGAGAACTCCCAGGGCCATGGGGTGGCTCAGGGTCCATCCTGTACCCCACCAGTGACTCCTAGCTCCCACTCACCAGGCCTAAGTTCCTAGTTCTGTGAAATGGCCAGTGAAGTCCTTCTGAGCAGTAAAGGGCTGAGTCAATGACAGGGTCAGAGCAAGTGTGGAGGTGCTGAGGCATCCTGGAACAGCTTCCTGGAGCACAGTGTCCTGGGACAGAGATGGGGGAGTGGGCATCCCTTACCCTCACCCTGGCCTTTTTCATCTAGGATCCAGTTTGGTGTCCCGCTGGCCAGGAACCAGCTGATTCAGAAGAAGCTGGCGGACATGCTCACTGAGATCACACTAGGCCTTCACGCCTGCCTGCAGCTTGGCCGCTTGAAAGATCAGGACAAGTAGGGGCCGTGTGGGGGAGGGAGCTACCACCAGAGGACTCTGTGTCCCTCTTGGCCTTGATGTGCTGGGCCAGGGTCAGTCTCACTGGTCCCTGATTTGGGGCTCAGTGGCTACATTGGAAAATCCTCATCCCCCAGTAGGTTTGCCCAGGGACATTGGGACACCTGGATACTTAGTGTTTGTTACATGTATATGCCACCCTCAGGGCCACCCCGGAAATGGTCTCCCTGCTGAAGAGGAATAACTGTGGGAAAGCCCTGGACATCGCCCGCCAGGCCCGAGACATGCTGGGGGGAAATGGGATTTGTGATGAGTATCATGTGATCCGGCATGCCATGAACCTGGAGGCCGTTAACACCTACGAAGGTGGGAGCTGGACCCTTGAGTCTGGGTCACAGTGGCCTCAGTGTCTGGAGAAGGGGGACAGCAAAAAGGGGCAAGGACAGGCCCAAGTCCTACTCCGCTATCACTGAGTGACAGTGTGATCTGGGCAAGTCACACCTGTGTCCCTCATATGGAGCTGCTCACATGGGGCTCTGGAAGTGAAGTGCTTCATGCATTGCACAGAGGCCCCATGAGGCCTGGGGAGGAGGGACATTCCTAAGACCGAGGGACAGCCTTCTAGGGCATCCTCAGAGGGAGGCACAAGTTCTACAAGCTGGTGCTTGCAAGGGAGTAAGTGAAGCTACACAAAGGAATTACCGCTGCATTTTATGTTAAGAGAAAAAGGGGGGAAAAAAAGTATCTGCAAACTGGTGTTTATACCCTGCAACTGGTGGTGGCTCACACGGGGGCCCTGAACCTCTTGCTCAATGGGAAAGGATAATTTACAAAAAGAAAAAAAGTGCAATCCAGTGTGAGACATGCAGAAATAGAGACATGAGGAGCTTCCTGGGCAGGGACGCTTCCAGAGAAGACAGCATGTACAGGAGTGGTGCCTTCCCTGTGCACCTCCACTGATGGAGAGAATGAACCAAGAGAGGACCCACAGTACCAAGTCGTTTCTGTTGGGCAGCTGGATAGGACCTTCCAGAACAGCAAGAGAGAGGGCTGGGGGATAAGAGGGCCCTACGAGTGTGAGATGGGCCTGAGGACAAGCAGAGGGGCCTTCAGATGGTTTGTATGCCTCAGGTAGATGGGTCAGATTTATGTTTTAGGAAGCTGATAGAATTATTTGATTCTCTAAAAGGGAGGCCATAATCACTGCCTTCTGCTCCTAGGAGCTGGGGAGGAGCAAAAGGTAGATGCGAGGGAGTGGGTATGGGGTGCTTCAGGCAGGGGATCAATCAGCCTTGACAAGCTGAAGTTCTGATGTGCCAGCTCTCTGCCCTCCCATGGGTAAGAAAGGGCCTGCCGTGTTTCCAGGCAGCTGATTGGATCTCTCAGCCTCTGTGAGAGAGAAGCTTGGCTGTGTTGAATATCCAACATTTAATCAACGTGCAGGGTGGGGCTAGTGTGATTCTGTCAAGTGGGCTGGGCCCATGGGGTCCAGCACCAAAAGCTTTGGGGTTTGTTTGTCTCACCAAGATGCATAACAGAACTATGAAAAACAATTTTCTCAGTGTGGCCCTAACGGCAGCCTCTGAGCCTTCTCCTGGTGGCTGTCATTAAGGCGCAAGTCTCCCGGCAGCTGTCATTCACCATCTCTGTGGGTCTGTTCTTCTGAAGCAGTGGCCTAGGGCGGGACATGAAGAGTGATTTTAAAGGGAACTTGTGAGCTTTAAGACTCCAAACCAACTGTGTTCATCTTGCCCAGGTACACATGACATTCATGCCCTGATTGTCGGAAGAGCTATCACAGGAATTCAGGCGTTCACAAGTGGCAAATGAACCCACTCCACCAGGGGCCCGATGCTCTGAAGTCCCCTCCCAGAAAGGCACGTGGCTGGACCCTGGGAATGCTGTGCTCTGAGCTAGAAAGGGAGGTGGAGGATGGAGACAACTTTTATGGCACTAAGTAAGAGACACCGATTTTTAAATATCAAAATTTCCCTTCTGAAGTCATTCAGATGTGCTCCTTAAAAATAAGATGGAATTCTCTGTAGAGTTTCTCAACCCACTTTTAACTGTGGATGAGAATAGACTTCATTTACCTTGGAACAGAAGTTTCTCTTGAGGGAAGAGACAGTGAAGCAACTTCCTTAAGACCACCCTGGTGTCTGACCAAGCAGACGTCCTCACACCAAACATTCACAGTGTGCCCTCTGACCCTCCCATCTGGGGGAAGTGCCTTATGATGGACCTTGGAGCAGAATGAGGGACAGGAAAATAAAGAGCCTGCATGTCTGATGCCACGATGTTGGGCTGCGTTTACTGGTAACCACCTGAGAAGTAGTTTCAGCCACAGGAGAAACGAACACGTCTGGTGGCTGTGAGTTGCTGGGACGTGGCAGGGACTTTCCCCAAGAGTGGTCTGGCCCATGTCTGAGTCTTAGGTTCTGCTGTAATAAACAAACTCAGGTGAACATTACCCAGATTAGCACTGCCTGAACCCCTGGGGGGCATGTGCCAGGGCTGCAGGGCTCAGGGTTGTGGGCAGCGGGGACATTTTGTGACTAGCAGGGATGCACGGGACCACAGAGATGACCATACAATAGTGTGAAATGACAACGGTCTGGCCTCTCAGCTTGGACACACCATGTTACGGGGACCACAAATGAGATGGCACCAAGGGCTCTGTAGGGATGATGGCCCTGTGGGGTCAGGGCTGATGCTGGGTTTCTGTTCACACTGACTGTCAGCTGGGCCATCACCTCCCCGTCCTCAGGTGGCCCCTGTGTGAGTCTGCTCATACCTCAGGCTGGACACACAGATCCTTGTACACCGTCTCCACACTGTGGCAGACTTGCTTGAGCTCTGTCTCCAAATGGTTGATCTTTGCCATTTTCTGGGTGAACTCCTGGAGTTTCTCCTGGATGATCTTGTTGTGGTGATTATAAATCTGATATATCCTCTCTTCTAACTTCTCTATCAGATCTGAAACCTTTTAAAGAGTAAGATGTGATAATGGAATACCAAATAAGAGGTACCACCAGACATTTGTTCTAAGTGGGTCTCTTAGATTTCTGAAATGTATCATAAAAATGCAAGAAAACAACCCCACTGCAGTAACTGGGGGTCAAATTGTCTGTATGTTCAATTTTTTTAAGAGGCAAAAGTATATACAGTCATATGCCACACAATGCCATTTTGGTCAATGTTGGACTGCATATATATTGGTGGTTCCATAAGATTATAATACTGTATTTTTACTGTACCTTCTCAACATTTAGCTATATTTATATATACCATTACTTACCATTGTATTACAAGTGCATACAGCATTCAGCAACATACTACACAGGTCTGTAGCCTGGGAACAATAGGCTCTACCATATATGTAGGTTTGTAGTATGCTATGCTGTCTAGGTTTGTGTAAGTGCACTCTGTGATGTTTGTAAAATTGCCTAGCAATATATTTTCTCAAAATGTATCACAATTTTTTTTTTTTCTGAGACAGGGTCTCACTGTGTTGCCCAAGCTGGTCTCAAACCTAGCCTCAAGTGATCCTCATGCCACAGCCTGCCAAAGTACTGGGACTACACTGTGGCCACAGTGAATGTTTTTATATCTTTTCTGTTGCATTATACTTTTCTTTCTAACTTTTCCATGATGTACCAGGTTGTGTACTGCTAGGGATGGAGAGGGGCATAAAGGGAAAACAGGCCAGGTGCAGTAGCTGATGTCTATAATCTCAACACTTTGGGAGGCTGAAGTGAGAGGATTGCTTGAGGCCAGGAGTTCAAAACTAGCCTGGGCAACAAAGCAAGACCCTGTCTCTACAAAGGATAAAAAGAGGCTAGGCGTGGTGGCTCAAGCCTGTAATTCCAGCACTTTGGGAGGTAGAGGCGAGAGGATTGCCTGAGTCCAGGGGTTTAAGACCAGCCTGCCTGGGCAACTTGGTGAGACCTCATCTCTACAATAAATTAAATAATTAGCCAGGCGTGGTGGCATGTGCCTGTGGTTCCAGCTACTTGGAAGGCTGAGGCAGAAAGATCATCTGAGCCCAGCAGGTTGAGGCTGTGGTGGCTGTGAGCATGCCACTGCACTCAAGCCTGGGTGACAGAGTGAGACTCCAACTCAAAAAACCCATGGTAGTACATGCCTGTAGTCCTAGCTACTCAGGAGGCTAAGGTGGGAGGATTACTTAAGCCCATGAGTTTGAGCTATGATCACACCACTATACTCTAGTCAGGGCGACAGAGCAAGACCCTATCTCCAAAAAAATATAAAAAAAAGGAGGGAAATAAAGTGAGTCTGTCATCAAGGCACGTGGAATCAGGAAGCCGTCCCACTCACAGGATTGGTTATGTATTCTGAAGAAGCATCAAGCACAACTGTTAATGTCAGACCTGAACATAGCATCAGGCTTTGCAAGACATAGCTCCAGATGTGCTGAAGAACACTAACTCTCCTCGCAGCCTGTCCAGTGGCTTCTGGAGGACATAGGGTGTGACAGCGCAAGCTGTGCCGCAACCCCCTACTTCCATAGCTGCTTGCCCTTGTGTGAAGTAAGAGGGATGTGCTTTGGATGCGGGGGGACCCCCTCAGCCTGGCTCTCATTTAGAGATGCATTTCTTTTTCTTTTTTTTTTTTTTTTGAGTTGGAGTCTCACTCTGTCGCCCAGACTGGAGTGCAGTGGCCGCTCCTGGCCACCCAGCCTCACCTACTGGGCTCCAGCGATCCTTCTGCCTCAGCCTTCCAAGTAGCCGGAATTATAAGCATGCACTACCACGCCCGGCTGATTTTTTTATTTATTGTAGAGATGAGGTCTCACTGCCCAGGCGGGTATCAAACCTGCAGGCTCAGGCAATCCACTCACCTCAGCCTCCCAAAGGTGTGGGATTACAGGCTGAGCCACCGAGCCCGGCTTAGAGATGCATTTCTAACCCTTAACTGTAAGATGGGTTCAATATCTTCTTTGTAGGACTGTTGTAAGGATGAGCTGAGATACAGATGGTCCCCAACTTACTGTGGTTTGACTTACAATATTTTCAACTTACAGCACATTCGTTGGGACATAACCCCACTGTAAGTCAAGGAGCACCTGTACTTTGTGTGAATTTCCTAGCACTGTACCTGGTATGTAGCAGATGCTCAGCAGCAGTAACAGACTCGGCAGCAGTTCATTCCCTCCCCTTTTACATGCGGAATCTCCCCCCGCCCCCACCTTGCTGGGTATAATCTGTCACCTTGATCTTGAGGCTGTTCCTGAAGTTGGTCATGAGTTCATGGTCTTTTTGCCTGCTCTCATTGATGTTTTCGATCAGTTCCTGGGCTCTCTTGGTCAGGATGTCTATGCTTGAGTCCAGAGAGGAGAAGTAGGCTCCTGACTTCCCTTCCAGCATGACCAGCTGACGACTGGCACTGGAGGTGGCAATGCAAGGGCTGGCAGTCTGACTTCTGCAAGGACAGGGAACTGAGATTAGCGCCAAACTCTCAAGAGTTGCTGATCTGAATGAGCTGTATGGTGGGAGGGGACCTATGTTGTTGCCTCCCATGGGTGACGCAGCACATTTTCTAGGTTGTTTAATTCACACACCCAACCTAAAGAATGGCACTCCCATTTTATAACTGAGAAAACAGACCCAGAGGCACAAATTAAATATGCCCAAGGAGGCCAGGTGTGGTGGCTCACACCTATAATCCCAGCTCTTTGGGAGGCTGAGGTGAGAGGAATGCCTGAGCCCATGGGTTTGAGACCAGTCTGGGCAACTTGGCAAGGCCTCATCTCTACAATAAATCAAGAAAAATTAGCCAGGCATGGTGGCACAGCTACTTGGAAGGTTGAGGAGGAAGGATCGCCCAAGCCCAGCGGGTCAAGGCCATAGTGGCCATAAGCATGCCACTGCCCTCCAGCCTGGGTGACAGAGTGAAACTCCAACTCAAAAAAATACATACGTGCCCAAGGTTCCAGAGCAAGGCCCCAAAGTCCACTGTTGTTGTATTATACCAATTTGCTTCTTTGGAATGAGCAACAATACTATAAATACCATAGATGCTGTATTTTGTAGAGACAGTACCTTTTTTTTTTTTTTGAGTTGGAGTCTCACTCTGTCACCCAGACTAGAGTGCAGTGGCCACTCCCAGCCACCGCAGCCTCAACCTGCTGGGCTCCAGCGATCCTTCCACCTCAGCCTTCCAAGCAGCTGGAACTATAAGCGCACGCTACCACGCCCGGCTAGTTTTTTTTTGATTTATTGTAGAGATGAGGTCTCGCCAAGTTGCCCAGGCGGGTCTTGAACCCGCGAGCTCAGGCAATCCACTCACCTCAGCCTCCCAAAGCGTGGGATTACAGGCTGAGCCACCGAGCCCGGCTGAGACAGTACCTTCTTACGTTGCCCAGGCTGGTCCCAACTCCTGGGCTCAAGCAATGCTCCCACTTCAGCCTCCTGAGTGCTGAGATTATAGGTGTGAGCCACTGTGCTCAGCCATAAATAGTATAAATGCTTTTAAAAATAAACTTCCTGACTGGGTGCAGTGGCTCACGCCTGTAATCCCAGCACTTTGGAAGGCTGAGGCGAGAGGATTGCCTGAGCCCAGGAGTTTGAGACCAGCCTGAGCAACATGGTGAGACCTCATCTCTACAATAAATCAAAAAATTAGGCCATTGCTTTGCTAAACTTTGGTCTGGCCATGTGGCTCTTTGAGCTATGACTGCCATGTTTCCCCAAGCTTTGGCCCCTTTCCCTACCTTGGGGAGGTGAATCTTCTCTCTCTCTCTAATTTACTTTCTAAATAAACTATATTTTCCAATCTAAAAAAAAATTAGATGGGCATGGTGGCACATGCCTGTGGTTCCAGCTACTTGAAGGCTAAGGCTTCAAGTAAGGATAATCTGAGTCCAGCAGGTTGAGGATGAGGTGGCCATGAGCATGCCACTGCACTCCAACCTAAGTGACAGAGTAAGACTCCAACTCAAAAAAAAAAAAAAAAAATTTTAAATGCACACATATTCAAAAAGTTGTGTTTGCTCCACACTGTACAAGTGACTATAATTATGGAATTCAATCAAATATTGTGCTAGCCAGTGAAATACAGGCAAAAGAGTGACAGCTGTCTACAAAACTAAATTAGATGATGAAAGGTGAATGTAACAAAATATAACCATTCAATCAGGTATGGGGAGACAACTATAGATTGGAGCAAAGATAATACAAGTCCTGAAGGTTCTTGCACACAGGTCAGAGCCTGTAAGTTTGCACTGTTTTAAGAACAAAATTGTGGGTAATGTATTAGAATGAGATTTATGAAAAAAACAAAACACTGATCAGCTGACCCATTGGTATTCTAAATTAAGAGAGAGATTTTTTTTCTTCTTCTGATTCTCTAGTTTATCTGACCTGTTTGGTTCTTGATCAGTTACAGGTTCTAGCCAGGTAGAGTTGCCACTCTAAGAGTTACAGCTAACACTTCTTCAGTTCTTTCCATCTGCCAGGCACTGAGCTAAGTCACACACCTTGTCTTGCTGCATCCTCAGGACCACACTCTGGGTCATCCGCTAGTTCACTTTACCTTATGGCTAAGCACACAGACTTAGCATGTTAATGCCACTTTCCCAGGTGTCAGTTCATCTGTAGCAGAGCTGGGCATGGTTCCCGGCAGGCCTGACTCCCCAGCTCTGCTTCCCACCAAAATGTGCCATTCCACTCTTGGATCCTTAGTTTCCTCGTTGCCCTCAGATTCTTCCAGGTCTGAACGGCTGAGCCTTGGAGGTATGGACAGAGCAGTTCCTGAACACAGCAGCTCACACAAAACCATAAAATCCGCCATGCCTGCAAACCAGGCACTGATTACTTAGAAAAATACATCTTGATTTTGAGGACTTCTCCATAAAACACTTTCTGGGGTTTCAGTCTCCTGTCTGCCATGGCTCTACATTTGGGCTCAGAACACAAGTGCAGTGAAACGCCAATACACAAGACCCTGGGCAGCCACAGCTCTTGTTTGCATGCAAGTTCTCAGGCCCAAGACGTTGGCTGTGTCCTTGTCTTCCCGTGTTCCTTGCTAGATTTTTTTTTTCCCTTGGAGACAAGATCTCATTCTGTCACCCAGGCTGGAGTGCAGTGACGTGATCATAGCCCACTGCAGCTTTGAACTCCGGACTCAAGCCATCTTCCCACCTAGTCCTCACGAGTAGCTGGGACTGCAGATGCTAGTCCACTCGGTTAATTTATTTTATTTTTGTGGAGATGAGGGTCTCGCTATGTTGCCCAGGCTGGTCTCAAACTCCTGGCCTTAAGCAATTCTCCTGCCTCGGCCTCCCAAAGTGCTGGGATTACAGGCGTGAGCCACTATGCCCAGTCCCAGGACACTCTTTGCACTTATTCTCAGCCTTGACATCTGAGACCTAACCCAGATAACTGTCTCCTTTGAGAAGCCATCCATGACCCCATGCCCATCTATATCAGTGTGCTTGTCAATGCTCATGCCCCTAAATCCCAGAGGACTGTTCATTGCTTACTGAATGAATGAAGAGCACCTACTGTCAGATCTATTCTTCCCTCCTCAGCTTCACAAAAAGAATGCAAATTTCTGAAGGGCGCAGTGGCTCATCACGCCTGTAATCCCAGCACTTTGGGAGGCGGAGACAAGAGGATTGCCTGAGTTCAGGGGTTCGAGAACGGTCTGAGCAACACGGCAAGACCCTGTCTCTACAATAAGTCAAAAAAATTAGCTGGGCGTGGTGGCAAGTGCCTGTGGTTCCAGCTACTTGGAAGGCTGAAGCATGAGCCCGGCGGGTCAAGGTTGCAGTGGCCGTGAGCATGCCACTGCACTCCAGCCTGGGTGGAAGTGAGACTCAACTCAAAAAAAAGCAAATTTATCAGTCTCCAGGGAAATACAAATGTGTCCAATGCATTTATCAAGATGGAAAAGAGTGCCTTCAATTAGGAAGATATCCTATAGCAAAGACTTATTATCAGCCAGGCTCGGTGGCTCAGCCTGTAATCCCGCGCCTTTGGGAGGCTGAGGTGAGTGGACTGCCTGAACCCGCGGGTTCGAGACCCGCCTGGACAACTTGGCGAGACCTCATCTCTACAATAAATAAAAAAATTAGCCAGCCATGGTAGAGTGCGCCTGTAATTCCAGCTACTTGGAAGGCTGAGGTGGAAGGATTGCTGGAGCCCAGCGGGTCGAGGCTGCAGTGGCCGGGAGGGTGCCACTGCACTCCAGTATGGGCAACAGAGTGAGACTCCAACTCAAAAAAAAAGACTTATCATCAGCTAGCTAGAATAAGAACAGACAAACAAATGCACTGCTTCCTAAGGACTGCTGTACAAAGACATTTTGTGGGCCAGGTGTGGTGGCTGACACCTGTAATCCCAACACTTTGAGAGGTTGAGAAAGGATTGCTTGAGGCCAGGTGTTTGAGACCAGCCTGGGTAGCAAGACCCTGACTCTATAAAAAAATTTTTAAGAAAACCAACCAGGTATGCTAGTGCATGCCCGTAGTCCTGGCTACTCGGGAGGCCAAGGTGGGAGGATTGTTTGAGACCCAGGAGTTCGAAGTTACAGTGAGCTATGATGGCACCACTGTACTCCAGCCTAGGTAACAGAGTAAGAACCTGACTCAAAAAAATAGATATTTTAGGCCGGGCTTGGTGGCTCAGCCTGTAATCCCGTGCTTTGGGAGGCTGAGGTGAGTGAATTGTCTGAGCCCACGGGTTTGAGACCAGCCTGGGCAACTTGGCAAGACCTCATCTCTACAATAAATTTTAAAAATTAGCCGGGCGTGGTAGCACGCGCCTATAGTTCCAGCTACTTGGAAGGCTGAGGCGGAAGGATCGCCGGAACCCAGCAGGTTGAGGGTGCGGTGGCCAGGAGTGGCCACTGCACTCTGGTCTGGGCGACGGAGTGAGACTCCAACTCAAAAAAAAAAAAAAAAAAGATATTTTGCAGTGGGACAAAGATTTACTGAGGCATTTACAACCTCCTAGCCTGCAATTACTCTTCTTTTCCCAGCATATGTGAGGGAGAAGAGGACTAATTCAGAGCTGGAACACATCAGCATTTTAACATTCAGATTTTTCTTTTTTTTTTGAGTTGGATTCTCACTCTGTCGCCCAGACTGGAGTGCAGTGGCCGCTCCCTGCCACCGCAGCCTCGACCTGCGGGTCTCCAGCTATCCTTCCGCCTCAGCCTTCCAGGTAGCTGGAACTATAGGCACACGCTACCACGCCCGGCTAATTTTTTGATTTATTGTAGAGATGAGGTCTCACCAAGTTGCCCAGGCGAGTCTTGAACCCGTGGGCTCAGGCAATCCACTCACCTCAGCCTCCCAAAGCACAGGATTACAGGCTGAGCCACTGAGCCCAGTTAACATTCTGATTTTTCTAATATGTGGATGCATGTAGGGAATATTGATG